GCCTTTTATTTTTAGGAGAAAAATTTGAAAAGAATTAAATGCAGTGGTACCTCATTTCACAAATTTCATTTGTTTCTACGATTTGGGGAAAGATGGCTACCATTGTGTTGGCATAGAGGAGAAAGCTGCAGCCCTGCCACCGATGTGGTGTCCGTGAATGGAAGCAAAATCTTGTCAAAAGCTTTTGTTTGAGAACCAAATTGTTTGCAAACAGAAGCATTCGAGGATCAAGGTGTTACTGTACATTCTAAGATGAAACCATCTTCATGAAGCTTTCCTTCGTGTTCTCACTAGACGGAGCAGGACACGAGTATCTCTTCTCTGTCTCTTTGTCTGTCTGTCTCTCTCCCCCCATGCCTCTTGTCCACTCCCCACACGTGGCACCTATCCTGCACGTACGATCATGTAGCGTCACTCTCCGCAGCCTGGCTCACCCCTGCGACTGCAGGGCTGGGGCGGCGGGGCCACCTTCCTGTTCGCATCCTTCGCATCACAAGGCCTTCAATGCACGTTCGATAATGGAATAGGATTTAATGCTAAAGACAACTGCAAAGGCCGGCAAGTCTGATCTCCTTATTTGTAAGCAGAAACTCAAGGCCAAGAAAGCCTTAGGACATAGCTGGGTAGGCTTCCAATTCACCTGCAGGACTTCTTTACTATGCTCTGTGCATCTTCCGTCACTTGGCTGCCTCTAGACTTCACGCAAATCTCGCTTTACTTTGTCGGCTCAGAAATACAATAACAATTTTGAGTATAGCTAGCTTTCTTCACAAATATGTCTTACTTCCACATTAAAAGTGCACTTTGTGGGCTGGGATATAGCTCCATGGCATAGCGCCTGCCTAGCAAACACGAGGTTGAGTTCAACTCCCAGTACCAAAAAAAAAAAAACCACATTTTGAAAGAACCCAGAAGATTCACTAATTATACTTATTTCTAGATTTACTTTAAAGGCTTTAAATTTTGTAATAAGTGAATGTTTTAAATGCTGACTTTAAACAGCACAGAGCCTTTTTTTAAATTTGATTGGTGTCGAATACAGAGAAAAGGCCTAGAGAATAAAAGAAGTCTCAAGATCCTAGCTCAAAAATATGCAGCAACTCCGCTTTCTGCACAGCCAGCCTGGCACGAATGCAGGTGCTCCAGGATGCCATTTCAGCCTTCCAGCAGTTTGTGGGATTTGTTCCCATTTTGGTACAAACCTCAGACAGTTAATGCATTCAGCTACTTCAAGTGGGTCGGTCTTGCCATTCTCACGGACTCGAAGGTACATCTCTTGTACAACTTTACAGGTTAAGTTTAATGAGGGAGGGAGGCCTGAGATTGTCAGATTCACAGAAAGAGCTGAGTCACAGCTTCTTGCTCACTGAAAGGCACACAGAAAGCCAGACGAGGGCTGACTGTGCTAATGAAGACACACATGGGCACACACACATGTGCATACACATGCACGCACACACACACGTGCACACATTCATGTATGAGAAGGCCCAAAAGCTAATTTCCCTCTAGCAGGCCTTATAAAGAGACGTAATGTAAGATGAATGCAAACTATCCTAAGAACACGGAGTTCTGAACTGAGCAACAGGGCGCTAGAAACCTAAACTTTTAGGAAACAAAAGGTAGAAGCCTGGAAGAGCTGGCCCCGCGGAGCTCACCGCAGCCTTCTCGTCTATCGCACTGTGGCTAGCTCAAGGAGCAGATCCTACTCAGGGCCAGCAATCCACAGCAGCTACCAGGATTATAGTACCAAGTCATGCACACTCCCCCCGAACCCACGGCAAATGGGGTCTCATTCCTCTTCATCTGTTCATGGCCTGTCCACAATTTAACTTGGTAAAGAGGAGAAAAAAGCCATTTCTAAAACATGGCTGATTTAAAAAAAAAAAAAAATTGTTGTGTTGTCTTATAAGAAGCTGAAGGCAGAGGCAGCAGCAGAGCCCCGGGCTGCATTCTGCAACTGCACCCGTAGGAGTCCACGTTCTGCCAGACCCACAGGCCTCGCCAACAGCAAGGGTGCAAAGCATCGCCTGCTCCGGGAGCCAGGTGCGCCAGCATCCGCGCTCTGCCAAGCCGCAGGGACCTGCCCAGCGGCAGCGTGGCGGGGTCCACCCCTAACACAAGCACTCCACAGCCTTTCGTTGCCTTTCTCCCTCCTCTGTGTGCAGGGGATTAGGCTTAGAGGGGAGGAAACGCTTGGCTCTTCTCTCCAGCGGTGCTGGGAGGGCAGGGAAAGCTGCTTATCCGGAGGAGGGCAAAGAAGGCTAAGAAACTGACCTGAGAATCTTCACAGAGTTGCTCCACTCATCCCTGAGCGCATTCTTCAAGATCCCCTTAACTAATGCACAATTTGAACTATGGCTGCAACTTGAGCCCTGGGGAGCTTCTCTGCCCGGAAGAACCTGGAATGCTCTCCATGTGGCTGCTGCACCTGGCAGCGAGGGTTTACTGTTCAGTCCGTTCGCCTTGAAGGCGGCAGGGCAGGCACAATGTCTGTGCCTTTCACAAACTCCTTGTAATCCCTTCTTCCCTCAGTGAGTGTCCTGGCGCCTGTGGGTGTAACACGGGCATTGTTCAGCAGCACGCGGAAAGCGCATGGTAATCACCCTCCGTGGTGTATTAAAAAAAAAAAAAATCAATCCAAAACTCTTAACTTTCGAAAGGAAAAAAATTCAATTTAATTTTTTTGATCATTTGTTCTTTTAACTGATATTTCTCCTGCCTGCTAGTACTCTTTTGAGCATCTGAACTTTCAGCGTGTGCCTCAGATGGGAGCTCTTGTTTGCTCTTCTCTTCGTCTAAAATAGTTTCTTCTAGGGTGTCTTACATCCCAGGGCATGTGCACGCGCACACGCACACACACAGGCAGACAGACAGACACAGACAGACACACACACACACACACACACACGCACACCCTTTTGCCTGCCTACTGCCTGTCCTTTCTTAAAGCTCAGTTTAAATGCCAGAGTTTTAGAGAAGCTTTCCCTGGCCATCTAGAGCAGGTACCATATGTAAATCTGCTCCATGTACCCGTATCTTATTTTCATTAGTGACTCTTTAGTATTTACCTGTGCCCAGCAGAATCTCCTCCACAGGGCAGGGGAGCACGCCTTTGTGTCGGCTCTCATATCCGAAGGCCCAGAACAAAGTCTGATACTTAAGATTCTTAAGAAAGTATATGTAACCAAAAGAGGGAAAATGGGAAGAGGAAGGGGTGAGACAGAAAGTATTCACAATCTTGCCAGGCATTCTGGTGACTGTAGCAGTGCACGCCTGTAATCCCAGCACTTGGGAGGCTAAGGCAAGAGGATTGTTGCAAGTTCAAGACCAGCCTGAGCTACAAAGTGAGCTCAAGGCCAGCATGCACTGAGATGCTGTTTCAAAAAGACAAAAAATAGAAAAGCATTTGCAGCCCTGCAGCTGGCCTGTATTTCTTGCCCATTCTAGATGAGGCTGAAATGACACGACATAGACGAGAAGTGATAAAAGAGAAAATAGGAGGATGAAGGTGGTGCTTTCAGATATCGTTCAAAACAAAAGAAACAGGACTTAACTTTCTAGAAAAGTTGGTACATTATCTTCTATTTTTATCTCTAAAGTGTTCCACATGGAGGTAATATCCCAGAAAAATATGTCAAATGAGGGGGAAAATAAACTTAGCCCTCAATGAACCCAGGCTTCCTCTCCTACAAAGGTATAAAATAAAGTGACCTTGGAAGTGTCCTCTGGTTCCATGTCCTATGCTGGGCTTTTGTGTGACCCAGAACCCAGGGGACACGATGAGTGCAGCCACTGCCGTAGCAAAACTACAGCATGTTCCCACACAGGTTAGAACTCACAAATCTGGGGCTGGCCAAATAACTCCAGGGATTAAAGCACCTGCAAGCAGGCGCAAGGGCAAAGAGTTCGATCCCTGGGCCTGGCGTGCCGGCTCTGCCCCTGGGGCACACTGAGAGGGCAATTGAGATTGGGCGTGGTGGCGGCGCACATGTGTAATTCCAGCTCTTGGGAGGTTGTAAACAGGCAGATTACGAGTCTGATCTAGTAGTGAGACCCTGAACACCCTGTAGACCCTTCCTAAAAGTACAGAAAAAATTAAAAAAAAAAAAAAAGAACCACACAAATCCACACCCTTCAGAGCCCACTATGAAAATGTGTGTGTCTGAGAAGGGAAGACTTTAGCCCTTCCTGCCATGAGCAAGTCACTTTAGAATTAAAATTTTGCAAAGGGAACAAGAGCCCAACAAGGTAGCAATCCTCTGAACACAGTAATTTACAGATGCATAACTAAACTGATCTGGCAAAAGCAATTCACAAATATAAATACCAGCTGGTCCTCACCTACCCTGTAAACTTTTTCTCAGTTAAACATAATCTTTCACTTAACACTGAAATTTCCTTCTTCCTAATACATTTCAGATATCGGTACTTCCCATTTCATAGCTCTCTGTCTTTCTCCCTCTCCCTTTCTGGCCTCATCTTTTGGTAAGAAGAGAGACAACAGAAACAGAATTAGGATGCAAATAAATGAACTGCAGCTTCAGAGATCTCTGCTCATCCAACAAATGCTAAGCTACACCCATCAAAGGCAGAGACGAATCTCATGAAGCAAACTAGGAGCAGCTTATTTTGTTGGCCAAAGCCAGTGATAGTCCTATTAGTGCATAAACTTTTATAGATACTCTGAAAGGTGATTTATGTTCATTATAAACTTTGTCAACATAGCTACTGCTATAAATGTGGTGGGTTTAGTCAATGTGGCTGCTCAGAGTAGAAAAGCACAAGCTAGTAATACTCCTTAGAGAATTTATCTGAGAAATAGTGCAGAGCTCAAAAGAACCATAAATCTGTTCATTAGTACAAGCCAGATTTACATGAGAGTAATGGAGAAGTCTTTTCCTTCGTAGTACGTGCCAGAACAACAGAGGCACAGGCATTCAAAGAATCACACTGATCAGAATTTCACATTAACATCAAAGATTTTCCACGCTACTTACATCAGTGTCGGGTCCCTTGTCTGCACCCGGACAAGAAAAAGTAACAAATTCATGGCACCTCTTGTGAACCACAAAACAGCAAACTGGTGGAGAGAAAAGAAAATGAAAATTAGAATACTCTAGATTTAATATATGAGCTTTGTTTACCAAACAGGCAACTTACTGTTAGGAGTCATTTTAACTTTAACATAGATAGAATCTTATATAACATTAATCAAAAGATACTGCATTTAAAAAGCAGCAATATTTTGTATTGATTGGAGTCATAAACAATATTTACAAGATGCCAATGCTCACAGGAGTAAAGGAAAAAAAATTCTGGCTCCTACTATCTTGAGTTGAGGGACAGAGACGTTATAGATTTAAAGTCAGTTTCCTACATAGGAATAAAATATTTAAAATACAGTATTTTGCATCATCCTATCCCTCCCACACCTCTATGTTAGCATTATGTATCCTATGAGTAAGATAAAAATTAAATGCAAAGGGAGCGACTTATTATAAATAATATACGACTACCGCTAACTGCAGCCTGCAGGTTGAAGGGCTTCTTCAGCAGAATTCTGAACATACCGAACTCATTATGATACTAGCCCAACCTACAGACAACAAGTGGTTGACATGAAGAACAGTTGGGGGCAGCGTAATGTCTCTTAGACCAGAATTGGCCTATGTGGTACAGATGCTGTCAGCAGTTGGGAAGATCCCTATAAATAGTGCAAAATCTACTACAAAGCAAATATTTTCCAAGTCAACATGGTTTTGAAAACTAATCCTGAAGATGAATCAATAAAATAACTTAACTGTTAAAAGAAACGAGTAATCCCAAAAGGGTTTTCTTGGATGGCATCATATGGATGACACAAAATAAATGATCCAGTGTTTCCTTTGAGAACAACTTCTACCATACTAGCGGTGTTTGGGGAATAACAGACATGCCTACAAATAGTACATCCTCAGAAGTATTGGGAGAGGCCTAAGGCTCTACTGCACACTCTGGCTAGAACGTCTGTTCCTTCCAAAACCCATCTTGAAATTTGGTTGCCACTGTAGTGGCAGTGGGAGGTAGAGCCACGGGAGGCTTCAGGCCATGAGCTTTTAATCATCATGGGTGGGGTTAGTGACATGGCCTAGCCTCAGGTATTCTGTTACAACAGCAGAAAGGAGCTAGGGCACTGCACAAAGAAGACTACAACTTCTCCAATTCCTGCCTCACGCACTATTTTCTTCCCTCACTCATGATAATGTAACTCTCTGCACAAGTGTTGGTAGATGGAGTTTCAAGAGGTGAGTCACGTCAGTGGGTGGAAAAGAACAGCAGCTTTGCTGAGTGCGGAAGTCCCAAGAGGAGACTGAGTACTAAGCCAAGCACCAAGCCACTGCTTAGAGGGCCTTGAGTGGCCATGAAGGAATTCACAGTATCTCTGTGGAAGACAGTGAAAGCAAGTGGAAGGTTTACAGCAAACAGCAACACACACAAAGCAATGATTTGAAAACACAAATGGGGAAGTGATAGGAGAAATTTATAGTTCCAGTTAGAAGCCTCTTGCATAGTCCAGGTATTAAAAATAATTGCCCACCATTATTCAGGCTGCTAAAAATCAGAGGCAATGACACTGGAGAAATTGCAGAACTATGAGCCTTGGTGCCCGACCACACAATCCCATTTAGGGAGCATCTTACTGCACACTGGGCAGTTTGTCAGGTCCCATAATGTGCATCATCAACTGAATCCTCACAGCAACACTATTTAAAGAAACAGTGACCTTTTTTTGTTTGCGGTATCAGGGATCAAACTCATGACGCTGCACTTGCCAGGCAGGTGCTTATGCTGCGGAGCTATTGCTCCAGCCCAGCAACACTATTTAAGATGCTTTGATATCCATGTTTTTTGATGGGAAAACACTGGATGGATCCCCTAGAGTCCGGCATGCTGTGAGCACACAATGAGTATTCCTGAATGAGAGGAAAGGTGGCAGGGACAGACAGACTATGGGGGGGGGGGGGTCGCCTGAGGTCACCCACCCACCACCCTGTAGTTGGGCCAGGACTCCCAAGGTTTGCCTCACTCCAGCCTCCTTTCCCTCCACTGTGTCATATCCACTCACAGGATTTCAGGGCCAATACCAAGCCTATTCACAGGCGTGACAGGAAAAAGGTACACAACAACAAACGCTTTACGTATCACACATCCATTTATATAAAGCCAAAGGAGGAAGATATGGCTTTGCCATAGTACACAAGTGGAGTCAGGGATTGCTTTCTTTCTCAAAGCTAGCTTTTAAAGTAGCTGTGATACAATGTCACTGTAAAAAGTATACTTTCTTGAAAAAGGAAACGGGTCCTGGGTCCTGGGCATTGAGTAAGCAGAAAACTAACCACGTAGGAACTATCCACAGAAAACCTAATGAATGAAAGTCTTCACAGTGAGCATCCCTTCAGAAGTGAAGCTGCTCTGGGTAAAGGCGTCTCTCGGGCTGCCACGGGTATCTGTGGAGCCCACGCGTGTGTGCCAGGTAGCCATGCCGGCCCAGGAGGTGAGTGCGAGGCAGAGACAGGGACCCTGGCTGCGGAGCCCTGCGGAGACCAGCACAGGGCAGCGCTGCTCCTCGGAGCCCTCGAGGGCTGCCCTTTCCTCCTGGCTTCTGCCGAATGCATCTTGATCACAAAATTCTCCAAGGATAGGCAACAACAGTGCTACAAAGGCACAAATTAATCTGCTGCTCCCTCAGACACAAAGTCACCTCTCGCTCCCTAGAATTAGAAAGATCAATTACTAAAGGAAAGAGGTTACAGCAGCATTATTCCCTCATTATAATGTATCATAGAGATAGTGTTTTGAAGGAAAAAATAAGCATCCTGGTTTCCCACTCATTCATTCAGGTCTGTCTTTCTTTTTTAAAAAACTATTTCTACGTTCAGAGGAATACTGTTAAGAAAACCCATATTTATCAATCCTTTCGGAATCACAATTTGGTTCTGTATATGTATATGTCATTTCTATTTGCATTTACACATCAATGCAATTACATACCTCTAGCAGGAAGTGTTTCTATTTATAGCTCAAAACATTTTCTTCAAATTTTATCCTGAAAGTGAACCAGGCTCTCCTTGCCTGGTCTAATTTTCGGGGCAGCAAATTCTTCATCTGCCCACAGATTACTTCCTGCCAGCCTGGCCTAGCAGTACCCTCCCTGCCTTCCATACACGGAAGCTTCCCCTTTCTATGAATGGATTCATTCAACAGGAGGCAGACCGGCAGTCATGTGTCTGCGGAGTCTTCACAGGGCAATCTGAGCTGGATAAATACCCTCTAAGTCTGTCAGAAAATTCTTCATTTAGAAATGACTTACGTCCAAAAGAAAAGAAAAAAGGATCTGCCTGTGCCCGTGAGATAGCAGAGAAAGCTTCACTGCTACCTTTTCTCAACCCCACCCTCAGAGAGAGAACAGGGAAAACGACCTTGGAGTTAGGCAGGCAGCATTTGCCCAAGAAAGTCCGTCCCAGAAAACCAAGCAATAGCCAGAGATTGTAAAATCACTGATGGCTAGTTTCGACCTCTGGTTTCAAATTATGAACTAAACTGAGTAATGCATAGTTTGTAAGACAGTATAGTTAAAACATTTGAGTAGCCTTTCTAGAGTAGTGGAATTAAAAGAAGAAAACTCGTTCAATAAAATAAGACACTATATTTGGCTTACATGGAGATGACCAGTTTAGGTTTTCCTCTGGCTTAACACTGGGAGACACTATTTTTATCCTTTTTAATTTAAATTTTAAGGGAATCCACATTGCCATGCTATCTGGAACAAAGGGAGTTGGGGAGGTGGGGAAACAAGGTGGAATCTGTCACATGGCACACCTTTAGTGGGTATCTGCCTCGCTTTGCAAGCAGGAAGGCAAATTAAAGAGAGCTGTCACTTGGCAGAATGGAAGTGGAGACACAAGCCACGGCATAGTCTTCTTGCTCCATGGTCTCTCTGGGACCAGACTCTTGCCCAAGTGTTAGGAAGAATAACCCACTAAGATGGAGACTCACTGTCAAAGACCATGGGCCACCCATGTTTGCATAATCAAATGCAAGGTTTCAAAATGGGAAGCTATCCTGTAGCTTAAAGACACAAAGTGATTCATTCCATTGCTTTCTAAGAACAAAATCACTTTCCTCTAAGCCTCTACTTGACATGCTTATGCTTCCAAACAGAGATGTATGACACATGAAAGGCACAAGTCACAGCACATGAAGCAATGGGAGGAAAAGAGAGACCACAAGCACAGAGAAATAATGACTCTTAACATGACCAGGCTTTAAAACTGAACACTGTCTAGCTATCCCTACCACTTGCTAATCTTGTTTATGTAAATACATAATCTGAACAGAAATTAAGGAGAATTTTCTCCATCTGTTAGAACAGAACAAATAACAGCCACCTAATTTTGACTCAGGAATTGTGAACTCACAAAAAAATTCAAATAAAAATCAGAAGTGTGTTATGACACTGTCATGCTTATATTAACAGGTGTTCAAGTCATACCTCTTGGTTTGAAGAGAACACAGCCCAGTTAAAGGGTGCGCAAAGCAGCTGACATGAGCGCGGCAACACTCCCCGCGACACTGCTCTCCCCGTGAAGGTGAGAACGAACTTATCTACAGTGGCTCATAAGATACTCACTGGGGGCCTGAGCATCATTTCTCTGTCACAAGTCATTGTCCTGTTTTGTTCTTTTGCTCCGAATGCCTTCAGGGCAGGTCTGGCTGGCTTGAGTTGTGGGGATAGAACCACAGCAACCTGAGCCTGACAGCTTTGTTGAAGCAGACACTTAAAGAACTGAGCTAAGGGGCAGGCCCCCTTTGTTTTTGTTTTTGTTTTTTTTGGTGGAACTGGGGATTGAACTCAGGCCCCTGCGCTCGCCAGGGAAGTGCTTATTCTACTGAGCCATCTACCCAGCCCCTCATCGTCCTGTTGACAAAAGCCTTGGAGATCTTGATTTTGGATATTGTATCCTAGAGAATTTCTGATTCATGCATAGATGTCCACCAAAAAAAAAAAAAAAGAGTATGGTCCAAAGACTCTCAGATAAA